ACACCCACACCTCACTCCACACCCACACCTCACCCCACACCCACACCCACACCCACACCCACACCCACACCCGTATGCGATTCTTAAAAAGAAATTTCGATCTCAATCCTATTTCTTCTGTTTTTTGAATAAAAATTTGAAAAATTCTGCCTCTCTTGCTTCTGTTTGGATGTAACTAACAAAAGCACTAGTAAAATATTGACGACAAAATTAGCTACGGACTTTACATTTCTTATCATACTTTTTCAAACACAACTATCACGTAATACAAGTGATTCATAATAATATCAAAACAACAACAACTATTTAAAAAAAAACTCAAGACATCCATGCATGTGTATAATGATACAAATAGCAACAACATGCATAGATTGCGACAATTGGTCGGTAAATAATTCGTTTGGACAGGATAGTACTCACTTATAGAAGTCATTCAAATGGGTGAAAATAAATGGTCATTACTGCAATGGGTAACCGAATATTTTTGCAGTCCTTATTATCAGAAACACGCGTCTAGCGTTGGCCTTTGTGATGTGATAGTTCTTGAGAATGAAAAATTCGCAAGTATTTGTTTTAAGCTTTTCAAAAAGAAAAATATTTGTTGACGTTGTCTTTACTGAAATCGAGATATTCTAAATAATAATGGTATGAAAGACTTGCTCTCGCTTAATATCCACAGTTCATGGAAAATGATTAATCACTTAGATATCGGATCACTTTAAAAAGTTTGCTGATTCTTTGAACAACTTTTATTTTGATTTATTAGAATAGCAAATACATGCACACAAAGAGCCTTGAAATAAATTATCCATCGAACAAAGCCGATGTGGACTTTTCGTAAGCATCAACCAGAGCGTTTAGGGTCCTAATCGTAAATGTATTTGTGGGATAAGTAAACTTTAGGCTCCTTCGGCTTCATCATTATATAATTATAAGATAAACACAGATTGCACGACAGACTTCTAAAAACGAAACGAAAGAAAAGTCAGAAAGAAAGGTATTACTTATCGTCACTTTTTTGGGTGTGGGTGTGGGTGTGAGTTTTAATCCTCCCTTTACTCATACCCACACCCCCACATCCTCACCCCCACCCCCACACCCATATCGACACTCCACATCCACACCCCACACCCACACTCCATCCTGATATAATTTGTTTTTATAACACGCCTAGGAATGAAATAATTCAAGAGGAAGGACGAGAAACATGAATTTTGAAAGAGGAGCAGAAAATATCTTTACCTATATATTTTCGATAAGTATATTACATATAGAATATTTCATTTTCAGTTGATAGGAAATTTCCTTGTCTATCAAACTGTATAAGATATTGATTTTTTCATAGATCTATAAAATTAGATCCGTATAAACAGAAATAAAAGAACCATTAATTTAGATAATAGATGCTCGTTTAATTTGGTATTCTTTTATAAACTTGTCAAAACGATCATGTAAAACTACCGACAATTGTAAGCAGCGATTGTCACATTAGATATTCTGAGCGAGTCTATCGAGAAATCTGACATTTATTGCACAAGTGTTTCTGTTTACACACATCTAATTTTCTTTATAGATCTGTGATAAGATCTATATCTTATACAGTTTGATAGACAAGGAAATCTTCTATTAACTGATAATTAAATATTCTACTTATAATGTGATATAGTGGTCGACGAAAAGTACGGACTAATTTTGAAGACGGTGTTTCTCGTCTTTAAGATTTCAAAGAGAAGACAAAGCTAGTTCTTTTCAGAAAAAAAGCTTTTCCTATGGTACCTTTCTATTGAAGAGAAATAAGATTCAACATTTTGTGCCATTACTTTGGCATCGTATGTTATTTGCTTTTTTTCTTGAGATGTAGCATTATCATTCTGTTATGTATGAAGTAAACTAGTATAATCCTTCGAGAGATGACGTATAATATAGACTAAAATTTGATGTCATAAGTATATCGAGTAGTTCATAATGAATCGGTCACATATTATTTTCCTTGTATTTTAATCTAATGAAATTGTTAAAGTTTTGATTTTTACTCTATCAGCTGCACCATGAAATTCTTTACAAAACGGCATATGTTAATTCGTTGAAATCATCTAGATTACAATTGAAGAACTCAATATATTTGTTTACTTAAAAACTACGCACTTTGCGAGTGCGGCTGTGGATATTAGTGTTCTCTTCACCCACATCCACATCCTCGAGATTTTTGCCATTCGGTTTGAGAGATGGTTTCTTGGACTGTCTCTTAATCATATACGAAAAAAGCTCTATCAAATAGGAATATTTATTTAATTTATCACTCAGAATAAAAACAATAATCTTTAACATGTACTGAATGATTGTCCGTATGATGAACAAAATTCTATAGCAGATTGAGCAGGATATGGTGGAAGTTTCGGATTATCATGTCGTCCAATAACCGATGTTGGATCAAGAGCATCTTGATTTGTATAATATACGACACTTTCTGGAGCAGTAGACTCACCAATATCGATAACTAGCTGAAATAAATAGTAGAATGCAAAATTATTCTAGAGTTTTTCTTAATTGTTATTTTAAAATGATATGTCATATCAAAAAGTATTTTTTGGATTATTTTGAATTCATAACGAATATTCTTCAAAAACATTAAGATGCTTAGAAAAAAACGACTTACATGATAATCTAGATGATTGTTACGATAAATTCCATATCTTTCAAAAAAATGTGTCATTTTATCTAATCTCTAACTACATGGTACAGGTGATCTCGATGAATATATCATTGATTCTTCAGCAATTATATGTCGCATTCGTCTAATACGTTGAAATTTTATTATATAACATCCAATACCGAAAATAATGGATTCAGAAAAAACCAAAATGAGTCGAATCGTAAAAAATTCATATGATAAATGACGAAGTACTATTATTCCACGCATAATGCTCAAACATAAAATAATTGAAAGAAATATTAAAATTTTGTTTGATGAAATTGTACGATTAGTTCTAGAAATTGATTTATGAAAATTCTCTTTACTTATTATTCCATTTAAATGAATTGGATATGCTCAGTCAAATTTCGATTTATAACATCCAATTACAAGATCAAGAGTAAACATAATATGAAATAGAAAAAACAATAACTTACTATTAATCATTGGTATATGAACTGAACTTGTATTTAACGGAACTGTAATCATTTTTTTTCTTTTTAAATCATATTAAAATAAAGAAATATCATTAATCAGAGAACTTTTTAAAAAATCACGATAAAATAAATCTCTGCAGCAGAAAAAATGGACGAAAAACATTAGTTTACCTTGTTTTTTTTGTAAATGTTCCACAGGAAAACAAGTTATTAAATATATTCATCATGACGTCATGTAATACAAAGTAAACAGAACGACAAGAAATCGGACATGTTTTATACAAGGTGATATTTTTTCTTGTTCTTTGCGATTCAAACGATAAAGAAATATGTTGATATAGTTTGTTAATTATTTTTATATCAATAACAGTGCAGGAAAATCTACTGTCTCTTGCTCAGAGGGTAACGCTGATTCATCTTTACCGTTCTACTATTAAAGGATCCCATCAATGAGAAAGAAAATCCATTTTTCTGTTTCTATAAAAAGTAGAATTCTGTCTCTAATGGATAGCATGCTGTCACGGTAGAATGATAAAAATGAATCGCAGTAATTCAGCAAATGAGCGCATCACTGCTACTTTCGTCATGTCTCATGATTTTCACCATTGAAACAAACTTAAGTTCATAGTCTGTGATTCATTCATAATAGTTATAATGTGTAAAAATACGGTGTGGATGTGTGGTTGGTGTGTGCATATCTACCTCTTCTCTCCCCACACCCTAATTTTAGATTAATATAAACATAAAACATTTTTCAAAACTTTTAATTACAAAAAATTAGCTTTTCTTTCTCTAACAGCTATACTAATACTTCGGTATTTTTGTATTCAAACGTGTTAATTATTCATGAATAAACTATGAACAATTAATGACTGATTTTTTCATAGTGCGTGATAACCAATCAGCGTCTAATGCCGCTTGTCTTCGGCTTCGACTTCGGTCAATTATTATTGCCTCCATTATGCTATGACAACCACTTTTGAATTTCAGTTGACTAAGAAAAAACAAATTATTTTTCTCTCCTTCCATAACTTGCTTGTTGTTTTGCCTTCATCTATTTATTTGCTTTGTCTTCTTTTTTTTCTCGCCATTATTTTTTTATTACAGCATCAAGAAGAGTAACCAAGACTGCCTAATTTAGAAGAAATGACGAAGTTACAATCGTTTTTTTCACAACTACTATCACATCTCATCACTTTAAACAGAAATATCTTTGACACAAATTCATGCATGCTACTGAATGTATTGTTACTTGTTATTGGTATTATTTGTGTCATGAACAAATGTTTCAAATGCTTCTATTCACAATCTTCGAGATCTGTTATTATGAAGATCAATTTTCCTATGGATACATACGGAGTGAAAAGAGCCTATGAACTACTTAGCGATAAGCGTTTGATTTCTAGTACCGAGACATTTCATTATTCTAACGAAATCGTTCGTGGAACAAATCGAAGTGCTTACCTAAATAAACTTCAAAAGGAATTCAGCGATCGTGAAAAACTCTTACCAAATTATATTTCTCGCATTGAATTCACAAATGAAGGTCAAAAAATTTTTAAATTAATTTCTATTGGCAGAGTTAGTACATTCTCCATTATTCTCATCGCACATAAAAGAATAAATGATGAAACAAAAATTTTGGTTGCCGAATTAAAGAAAGAAGTAACCGTATCGACCACCTCTACATTATTGTCGGGTCCTACACGCCTGCTTGGCTTGAATTGGCAAGAAAGAAGCGAAATCGAAGAAGTACTTACCCGCTTTAGTCAAGACAGCAATAAGAAGTACATGGAGGCACTAATGGCCCGTGTGATGGCAGATAAGCTTCGTTATCAATTAAGAAATGACCCTCAAATAAACTTGATCGAAGAAGACAAAACAGAGTTGTAAGAACTTCAATTCTGTCATTCAAGAACTTCACCATCAATACACTTCGAAATAAGAGTCAATAGACCAACAGAAATTCGCATTTTTTATAGTCTAAAACTGTATCCTTTTCCACTCATATTAATGTCTATTTTAGAAAGAGATGGCTATGGACATTTTTTGAAATATTTTCATAGGGTGTGCGTGTGGCTGTGGGTGGGTGTGGGTGTGCGTGGAGTGTGGGTGTGGGTGTGGGAGGTGGGTGTAGGTGTGGAGGGTAGGTGTAGGTGTGGGTGTGGGGTGTGGGTGTGGGTGTGGGGTGTGGATGTGGATGCGGCCGATGGAAATACCCACACCCACATCCACCCTAGCCACACCCCACACCCATCCACACCCACACCCACACACAAAATGGAGTTTTCCACGTGCACCTCTCACTCTAATACAATCTGTGTTCGTGTAGAAGTGGCTGCTTACGTAGGAAGAAACATACTGCAAATGATCAAAGCACAATATGGAAGACTGACTACGACAACTGGCATTCACGTTCAAAAAAGGACTGCAAAATTGTAATAGAAACCAATGAGTAATTGTTTGTTATGATAGGGTGAGCAACTCTTATCCTAAAGGATCATGTTGCATTTAATGAAGGTAAGTGTGAGTGCGGATGTGGAATAAGAGTCGAGGTGTGGCACTTGGGTGTTAGTGTGCGTGTGGGATTTAGTTGTCGGTAGCTCCAGTATATATCTACAGCCACAACCCAACCCAGTATATTGCTCTTTCTAATCAATTTAAAAATGGAAGAATGAAAACCTTTAAAATGTCCAGAGAACCTCTGAATAGATCTATTTTCGAAGTGCCAACATTTTGCACTGACAGAGAAATACAACCAACATTTACTTTCAAAGTTTTCTCTATGACTTAATTTAAGGAAGAGTACTCCCTTTCAACATACCCTTAAATTTCGTCAGTTTGTAGAGGAGATCTCTACGGGCCTGAGATTAAAATAACTCGTGAGCCGGATGCACTTTCGTGGAAATATGAAACTTGAGGATGTGGGTAGGATGTGGGGTGTGCGCGTGAATGTAGATGTGGATGAGTGGATCGATGAATTAGAAATAGCAACTCATGCACCGCACCCACGTTCACATTCACACCACATACCGTACACCCACACCCTAGTTGTTAGTATAATATGAGGATTAAGACTTATGTCTGATAACTGTAGACCTACCTTCGATATACAGGGTGTTTCATAAGACTTGGGGCACTACAAAATTTGTTTATATGGAGACACAAAACAACGTCTAATTGATGTGTATTTATATCAGTTTTGAGTGCTCTTGACAGTCTATCAAATGGTATTTTATTGGACGACATTTTCTTTTATATTAATGAATATATCAACATAAGAATGTAATGATAAATTTTTTGAAATTGATCAATGTGATTTTTTCTAAATATGTTCTGATAAAGCGATGTACATATTATACAAAAGAAATAACATGGCATAGATGAATACTTAGTTTTCTTCGTCATTTATTTCATCCTCAATATGAACCATTAACCACATGTCAAGCCACTCTTCATGCTCAATAAGCGATTTGACATAGATAAAATATATGTTTCAATGGCGAGCTGACTCATGACGCAAGGTATGGTAATTGTAACCGACATAGTATGTGAATAAGGGCTCTTCCCTCACCAATTCTTTTAGACGTGGCAATTTTCAGCTGGTAGCCCGCCCATAATATGCATACATCACGTGCATAACGAAGAACAATATATAGTGGACAGAACAAAAAATGTTCGCTTTTACCAATGATGTTTAAGGTCTTTCTCGTATACAGTATTCATAAATAATCTGACTGATTGTTTCAGAACTAGCTTCTAATAACAGACGAATAAATCACTGAGAAAGTCCATGTAGATTTCTATTATTCTTTAATTTTTTTGTTTTAATACAGTTTGATCTGACGTTTCTTTTTTTGCAATTGATACTCCACGTTAAAAATGCGAATTATATCATATGAAATCATATCTTTTTTAGTCTGTCTAAGCCTATCTTTTCTAAAAAATATAATAAATTCATGCTTTTACCACCGCAACGCTTTCGTTGAAAAATGCAAATTTTCACAAAACAAAAGAATTTGCTCTATGTGGCATTTCTTAACAATGGCATTCAAAAACCTAGTGAGAAACGTTTTTACCAAGCTTTCCTCTCGAGTTGAAAGCCAGATGCGCTCCTATGGTTGATCATTACTTTGGATGCCCGACAAGTTCGACAGAATTTCACTGATATTTAAATAATATAAATACAGAAATATATAACGTGCACGGTCCTAAAACAATTGTTTGCATCACTAAAAGATAAGAAACATGTGACGAAGAAAGAACACAATGTAAAGTGATAAAAGTGCACTTGGTTTCGAAATGGCTACTCCGAATGACGAGCAATGCGATTCAAATCAGCAACTAACACCAGAGCCTATCACTGTAACCGCATCAACAATTACATCTTTAGACAGTGTCATTCATCAGTGTGGTGGTCTAGGTCGATTCCAGTGGTTTCAGTACTGTGTTCTCAATTTGATACACATCTCAGCTGGTCTTACTGTGTTTTATTATGTTTATGGAGCGGCTGAGCCTGACCACCGCTGTCGCCTTGCACCATCGGTATGGCCTCATGATGACCAATATAATCCTATCAATAGT